AAATGAATGAACTTGCGTTATGTGAGTATGGTAATTTTAATTGCTAGCTTTGAAAAAACCATGTGATTAGTCAAACATTTGCTTATGTGTTTATGAGGATCACATTTGACAGGAGTGTGTACATATGTAAACTAACATGCTGCTCTATATATATATATACTTAAATGCATTTTTAATGCTTTCTTAGAGTGATCACTAATAGAGCAGTTAAAAAATGAACTTGCGTTATGTGAGTATGGTAATTTTAATTGCTAGCTTTGAAAAAACCATGTGATTAGTCAAACATTTGCTTATGTGTTTATGAGGATCACATTTGACAGGAGTGTGTACATATGTAAACTAACAGGAATGCTGCTCTAACGTGGAAAGGTTGAAGTCAAAATGAGGTCATGATAATATCTGAAGAAGGAAGTTAGTTGTCTTGTACTGTATGTCTTACGTTGAATGTGGAGATACATTTTTCATGAGCTTAAAAAGTTGTGTAACCAGCCGAAAGGAAAGCTTTAGTTTAATAACTGGGCGTTTCTTGACCACATAATCCTCCTTCAGGATTATTTTGCATGCATTAGTATTATCTTCTTGTCGAAGGTAGAAGTTTCAGAGTATTTACAATGAAACCATTTCCAATATTATGACATTTGATGAAAATTGACATTTTTCTGCTGGATTGTACTTGATTGATTGTTTTAGGATTAACTGAAGACATCAAGCTTATGTATCTCCAATGTTCTCTCATAGATAGGATGATTGTAAGTAGGATGAAGCCATAGAATTGACTACCTCAAAACCTATATTAAGACACTTTAGAAAGTAATCAGTGGTAGCCTGCTCAAAGAAAAAATAATTTAAACCTCTGTTAGGGATCATTATTTCAATGTCCTGTAGCGTTGAGAAGTGGGAACTCAAGTCATGACTCATGACCAATGTTACCTCTAGCTTTGAGCATTGAGGTTGTTTTGTCCTTTCAGGCTCTAAGTGGGAGGATGTTCATTCCTCATTGGGTCTCTAGGCTTCTTTAGGCTCTGTGATTTGTATAATTATGGGTATTGTGAGGCCACAGTGGGGTCCTCTATTATAAGAAATAAAGAGACAGCGGATGCAGTGGAGCAATAAACTGCACTCACAGATGGAAGAACGAAGTAGTGGGCCATTTGACAGCATCAGGCATCATCTTTCACATCAGCAGTTCTCAACTGGAGGGACGTGACCCAGAAATTTGTGTTGGTTCTGTCACGGACAGCAGGGCAAAACACTGCAAAATGCAAATCATAAAATACAATGTAACATTGTAACCCTGCTAACAGCAGGAGCCACAACGGTACGCACAATAGGTCAATATTCACTATTAACCAAACGCTTTTCACCTGTCTCAGAATCTCTCACGGTTTACACTCACTTACACTTTTAATCCATAATAGAGAGCGTGTCACACCTGCCTCAAGACCTTTTACCGTTTGCACTCCACTTGATGCACTTAAGCAAACAAACAGTACAAATCTACACATTTACCTATTTGCAACCTATATCTTATTCCTATCTAATAGCCTATGTGCACCTGCCTCAAGATCTCTCAGTCTGTTTACGATCCGATAGATGCATGTGACAAAACATGTCACGCGAACGCTCCCATTAGAACCAGGGAAGCTCTTTCGTCGCGTCGCGTCGCGCCGCTCGCTCGCAGCGTAGAAGGAGAAAAGGCGGAGTCCGTTTGAATATCAAGCGCAGTTCCAGTGACGAGGATAACGCGTCCGGTGGATTCCCGCCACTCCGGCGGCTGCGCGTGGGCATCAGTGGGAGAGTTCCGTATAAAAGCTCCCGCATCCTCCTCTGCCTCTGACACTCTCTGTTTGAATGATACAGTGTCTTCTCCTCTCCTCCTCCTGTGTTTTCTCGGAAACATTTTCCTGCAGTAGAAATTCAAATTCTCGTCTATGGTTCTGACTCAAGCTTCCAAAATGTCCCGGACCGAAGAGGTGCACCGTATAACGGAGAACGTCTATAAGGTGAGTTTTACTGTTATTATTATATAGGCAGCCTTAAATAGTTTTATATTTATATTTCCTCTGCATTGAGTATTTTCTATAGCCTATATTCTGTGCCAGATTTATTCATTCATGTTGTAAACTTAAAACAACATTTGAATGTAGAGGTTTTCTTTTTAAAGTTGCTTTGCTGATGAATAACTTGCTTAAAGGGACAGTTCATCCAGAAATGAACATTCTGTCATCATACTCAAATGTATGCTGTTCCAAACGTGTCAGTTTCTTTTCTGGGACACAAATAGAGATCGTGGGCAGAATGTGAGGGACTGATAGCCTCAGTCACCATTCACTGTATTGCATCAACTGCAATAAAAGTGAATTATGACTGAGACTGTCTAACTAAGTGAATTATGACAGAATTTATATTTTACATTGAACTGTCCCTTTAAATAATGCAAACTATAGGCTCATGTAATTAAAAGCAGATATAGCTGGTTTCAGTGTAGAACCAGTTTAGCCAAATACTTGAATCTGTCATCTCACCTGTAACTCACTGGAACACATGTGAGTTTCGGGTGCCTAGAGTGATTTCATCACTTATGCTTGTAGAAGATAAATAGCCTACATTTCAGGAGTTTGCTTCTGGACATTTCCTCAAGTTCCCTGGTTCCTTTATTTTTGGACTTTGTTAAAAGCTTAATATATAAATGCTTGCTCTGTCTTTGAAGGTGCTAGTGTGTGTGTGTGTGTGTGTGTTTGAATTGTAACCATGGATTTGTTTTGCTCTAAATGAGTTCTCGGTTGGTAATGTGGTATGAAACTGATTGTGTAAAACAGATGGAGCATATCTGAGTCCCATCAGGAAAGAGTGATGCACTTCCATGGATCTCCACAGCACACGCATAAGAACAGCACTTTATTTCTTTTCTCTGCCAGCGTTTCCCTTGTGGAGCTCTTGTCTGTTGTAGCATACCTCTTTGAAACCACCTGACTCACCAAACTAAACCTTGGTGGCTGCTGAGACTGACCCAGTGAAGCGTGTTAGTCCAATCCTGCAGACGTCTGTTAAGGGACTTTAATGTTTAGGCTGTTAATTCCAAACCATGGAGCTAATATCCTTGGCTAGAAAATGAAGGGACACTATTATTTCTTGGGCAGGGGCGGCGTTTTTCTAAGCTTTTAACTTTTCTTTGTGGGTAGAGAAAAATTGTGCAGAGAAGAGAACAGAGTGTTTTTGCCAGAAACCATGTAGCAAATGCACTTTTTAAGGCGATATTTTAATGTGAAAATGAGACATCTTGGCATATGCAGTACATTTTGTCCTATGCATATGGAATGACAAATATCATGCACAATATTAATCTATTTAGTTAGATTAAAACGGGAGATTTTTCTTCATTTTAAATCACCTTTTGCTTTTTATTATAGTTAAATAAATTTTGCAGTGACTTAATTTAAAAAAAATAAACAAATAGCCTAGTAAATAATATGATGTAATAAAATTTTATGTATTATAATTATATTAAAATTAAAACAATACGTTGGAAAAATGGTTTAAAATAGCTTTAGATGAACTATGCATGTCACACTGCATGATATATAATTTTTCCATATAATACTAGATGAGAAACTTTTATAAACAAACTTCAACTTAATAACTGGGCGTTTCTTGACCACATAATCCTCCTTCAGGATTATTTTGCATGCATTAGTATTATCTTCTTGTCGAAGGTAGAAGTTTCAGAGTATTTACAATGAAACCATTTCCAATATTATGACATTTGATGAAAATTGACATTTTTCTGCTGGATTGTACTTGATTGATTGTCTCAGGATTAACTAAAGACATCAAGCTTACGTATTTCCAATGTTCTCTCATAGATAGGATGATTTTAGGTAGGATGAAGCCATAATTGACTACTTCAAAACCTATATTGAGGCACTTTAGAAAGTAATCTGCGGTAGCCAGCTCAAAGAAAAATGATTTAAACCTCTGTTGGGGATCATTATTTCAATGTCCTGTAGCGTTGAGAAGTGGGAACTCAAGTCATGACTCATGACCAATGTTACCTCTAGCTTTGAGCATTGAGGTTGTTTTGTCCTTTCAGGCTCTAAGTGGGAGGATGTTCATTCCTCATTGGGTCTCTAGGCTTCTTTAGGCTCTGTGATTTGTATAATTATGGGTATTGTGTGGCCACAGTGGGGTCCTCTATTATAAGAAATAAAGAGACAGCGGATGCAGTGGAGCAATAAACTGCACTCACAGATGGAAGAACGAAGTAGTGGGCCATTTGACAGCATCAGGCATCATCTTTCACATCAGCAGTTCTCAACTGGAGGGACGTGACCCAGAAATTTGTGTTGGTTCTGTCACGGACAGCAGGGCAAAACACTGCAAAATGCAAATCATAAAATACAATGTAACATTGTAACGCAATTTGCAATTCCTTTTGAAAATTGTCCGGAATATCGTTCCATAGCAAAATAAATAGGCTTGTTATCAACTTTTAAAAGGGCAGAGGAAATGATCCCTGTATCTTTTGTTGTTGACATCAAAGGTCGAGAGTCTGGTAAAACTCTACAGCAGGTGTGTCAAACCCAGCTCCTGGAGGGTCACGGTCCTGCAGAATTTAGCTCCAACACAACAATCTGCTTCAACACACTTAGTTTTCAGGTAATCATGAAGACATTGATTAGCTGGTTCAAGTGTTTTTAGTTAAACTTTTTTTTTTCAATGTCGACCAGAATAGTTTTGAAGTGCTGAACCATTGACTGAAACTGTGACGTTTTAATTAGCGTTTCGACCATCTCAAAAAAAGCTAAAACAGGTAAACAAACAGTAATCAGCACTACACTTTACCATAACCAAAAAAAGTGGCTGGCTAAACTGCAGAGAAGTGGCTTGTTGCCTAAGACATTTTTATATAGTTGATTTAATTTATGCTACCTGAACAGCATACCAAGTTAAATGACTCAATCAGCCAAATTTTATTAGGCTACCGAAACTTTTTTATTTAATCTGTTACTTAGTAGAAAGTAGTCAAATTTGAGAGATGCCAAAATAGATGGATTACTCAAACCAAATGGGGTCCTCAAACCATGAACAAAATGCTCTAGTATTCTAGGTAGAAAGTGGTTCCACTTGAACTAGTATTCTTTTTTGCATATTGTTGAGCCTATTGCATTTCTTTGTTTTTATGGTTACTTTTGTACGATAAACAATTTTGCTATTGTGTTGGGTTGCTACTTAATGTCCAAAGTAAAATCTAGGTCCTTATGCAACAAAAATTGTTTTACTGTATATTGATGTAACTGGCTGCTTTGTCTTTTTAAATGCTTTTAATTTTTAAATGCTTTTAATGCTTGTTGCATTTTCTGCACTGATTTTGGGGGGAAATCTGCAAAAAATCTACAGAAATGTAAACTCCCTAAAATGTTTTCAGTAAAGATGCACTACACTATTAAGAGTAGCAGAAAACATTATAAAACTGTTTAATAAACAAACATGAAAGGTGTGATGTGTAGAACCTGAATGACAGGCATGCCAGTTTTGTGGAAATCTGCCATTCTTTCAATGAATTCCGCGAGTGCATATTTCATGTAGCATGTCTTATGTTAAACTCGATCTGTCAGCAATTCTTTGTCCAACTTCAAGTGTGATTTTGGGAGTGTGTCGATATCTATGTTTGTGTGTACGCCTGGCAGCTGCTTAGTAATCCCACATCACCCTGGGAGCTGAAATCCACCCGTCTGCGCTCACGAGTGCCTCAGTCTGCATCTGCCAGTGTGTGTGGGCAGTGTCTCACGGGCCAATGGAGTATGTGTGTCAATACGTGCATGTGCCTCTGTCTCCATGTGTGTGTGTGTGGGGGTAGTGTCTCGTAGACCAAACGGTCTGGTTGTGAGAATGTGCCTCTGCCAAAGCATAGGGGTTGTGAGTGAGTTCAGCTTTGTCTTTGCCCACGGTGAGTAGGACAGTCAGACCTCAAAGATATTGTCATCTGTTGGAGGCAGTTTCCTTCGTACCACGCTGCACTGCCCACACCTTGACCACATGTCCACGCTTGAACTGGCCTCTTACTGGGCCACACTTCTGTTGATGTAGATTTCAGGCTGAATTATGCTCATGCATATTTTCTTAAAAGAGGAATATTTTTTGTCCCTTTTCCCTCCAAACAGATGAAGATATTAGGGGATAATTCAACAAAAATGTATTTAATATACTACAATTTTACTTGTAATTTACACTGACTAGTGCAACTGGTAAAACTGTCAACAATCACCTTTAAGTCACATTTAATGACAACGAAACATTACTTATTGCTGCCCAGAGCAGTTCCTTTGTTTGATGGATCTCTACCTTGTTCCAAAATCAACATTTATCTCTCTGTGTGTGTGTATTTGTTTTGTGTTCAGGTGTGTGTTCTCAATAAAATGAAGTGGATTGTCAGGGCGGAGTGGGGATTTCTTTATAGGCTTGCTATGAGTTTTGGGTGAGGTCAATTAGTGTGTTTTGATTTCCCAATTCATATGCACAGCAATTAGAAAAGCACAGTATGTGTCCCCTTGCACCCTTGTTTTGGTGTTATATAACAAGTCCTAGTTTCAACTTTTCCTCTTATCTCAGTCCAAGGCATCTGGAGAGCCTTAAAAGAATATAGATGTCATTAAAATCCTCCCTAAATAATATTTTTGTTTGTTTTTGTGCTGTCAGCTGTTAGATGGAAGACAGATGGTAGCTTAACAGCATGTTGGACGAAAGCTGTTGGACTGTGTTTGCATCTGTGTTTTTGACTGTCTGTGTACCTCTAAAGGGAATGGGAATTCTTAGTTGAGACAAGTAGATCATAAAAGCTCCGTAAAGGGCAAAGCTTACAACTTTATGCAGAAGCCTGGTACTTACAGATGGCCGCATTATGAGTGTGCCGCCTTCCTTCATTATGCCATGTTTTATTTATTAATTTATGTCTTGCTTTCTGGAATCTTGCTGAAAACCACAGTGACCTCTGTTGTTGCTTTTC